TTAAATTCTATTCTGGATTTAACAGAAAGCCAATGAAGAGAAGCCAGGATAGGAGAGATATGATCTCTCTTTTTAATTTTGATGGGAAGATGTTGCTGCGTTCCGCCAAACCACATTTGGTAGGGGTTTTATTTAACCTCTAACTAGTTGTGAAACAAATCAAGCTCCTACTAATGCTATGATTGGCTAAAAAAACCTGACATTGGAGGCAGGTACCCAATCAGCTCAAAGAATTTCAAAAAAATTAATAACAAAAACCAATAGCAGAGGAGCTCTAGGTTCCACACTACTCTAGACATTTTGAATTGAGAAAGCTTTCTGGATAAATTAATAATTTAACTTTATTAATCTCACACTGGAGAAATTAATCTCTGCATTTAACACATCCCCTTAGGGAGCAGTAGGCTGCCGGGGAGCAGTGTGGGGTTAAGGGTCTTGCTCAGAGACACAGAGTGCTTGTGGGGATCGAACCGGGTACTTGCAACCTTCTCAGAGCACAAGCGCACTGCTGGAACCACCAGGCCAACAGTCCACCAAAGCAAAAAAATTCCAGTGGTTGTGTTATTAAGTTTTTTGGAATGATTATGACCTGGATGAGAATTTCCCCCGGGTACAACTCTTTACATTAAATTTTCCAGATCGATACATGCTGTTTGTTAGGGTTATCTTTACTAATGATGATACCCTCGTAATACATGCCTGTTGTGTGTCAGAACTAATGTTTTCCCAACTAGTTTTTCTAATTAGGATAATTCCTTTATCCGGCCATACAGTTAGTGTCTTCATTATAAACGTGGTAAAGATTTGAGAATGGAATTAGAGCAGTGGCCTTGTTCTAAAAACAAAGTTTAATATTTTGATAAATCTGGAGCTATGGATGTCTCCTCATCTGCAAATGATGTCATTACATCATATCATTATATGATGATGTGGCAGACTGGAGTTGCATAAAATGCTTCTCCAACTGTTTCTGCTTCTCCACCAGATATGAGCCCGGTTGGTAAGCAGCTGCCATCTGTAACTCAAAGCAACTTCTCTGATCGGAGTAAGATTACAATATGTACCAAAATCTTTTGTCATGTCTCAGGGTTATTTAATACATATTCATTATAAAGTGTTAATTAACAAGTTCTTCCCAAGTGATCTCTTTATATGAAAAGAACTGGAGAGAGAAAGCTTCAAGGTATAAACACAGAATTTTCCATAATAAGTTCAGTTTAAATTCTACACGTAATCAATCTGGCTTATGCCAAACAAGTATTTGAACCCCCTGCTATTTTTCAAGTTCTCCCACTTAGAAATCATGGAGGGGTCTGAAATTGTCATTATAAAAAATTGTGCAAAAAATAAATAAATAAATCCAGAAATCACTGTTTGAGCACATATTTGTACAGTAGCCTTTGTTTGCAATTACAGAGGTCAAACATTTCCTGTAGTTTTTCACCAGGTTTGCACACACTGCAGGTGGGATTTTGGCCCACTCCTCCACACAAATCTTCTCTAGATCAGTCAGGTTACTGGGCTTCTGAGCAATTTTTACTTTAGCCTTTTACAGAGCAACACGGCGAAAGAAGCCAAACAACCCCCCTTCCAAAGGGAGGGGACCTGTTCGTCCATTTCAGTTTGCATGTTTTCTGAACAAAAATAAAGCTTTATTGTGCTACTGTATAAAGCCTCAAACTCAACGCTATTTCTGACAATTGGATCTGAAAAATCTTCCTGGAGGGGGAGCAAAACGTCTTCAAACTTGGAAACAAAGTCCAGTGGATTGTTTTTTAACTTTTTTGGAATAACTATGACCTGGATGACTGAGAATCTTCACCAGCATACAACATGGCAATGGTTTGCACATTGTTTATTCAGGGAAGGGAAGAATACAAGAGTAATTGCAATAAAAGAAAATACCCTTTTCACTAGAATGTATTTGCAGGTTGTGTCTACTTGTTATGTATCTGAAAAGACAGCAGATATATCCTCTCTGTATTTATTTAGAATAAGTTTAATTTTTGTTTCTTTTTCTCTTGTATTAATCTCACCTGTTTTCTTCATGCACTGCATGTTTGGTTTTTTAGTTGGGGCATGAACCTCTTCCTCCAGCTGTGGGGACAACAATGTTTGGGAGAAGAGTTTTATATCTGCCTGGTTTCTTTAGCTATGGTAAGTAAAGCAGCTTCAAATGTGATTTAAAAAGCACCAAAACACTCTGGTAGCATATGAATCATGTTTACAGCAAGTAGCTTTATTCTTTTTCATGTTATACGTGGCACATTGCCTAGCAACTATTGTTTAAGACTACAAGTACATCAAGAGTTACATTTCTATGCCTACTTGATCTATGCTCAGACAATCTTCAAGCACCACCCTTATATGTTTGATTTATATAGGGGGTAATAATTTGTGCAAAAAAGCAATTTATTATAGCTCAAGTTTCTAAATTTTAATGAAATCATGGGGAAAACTAAGGAATGTATAATGGAACATAATTGTGACTTTATTATGGAATATCGTTATGCAATCAAATGCAGTGAATCTACGGTTTCATTAAAACCCTTCTTTCTGCATTATTAGCATTGTCCTACTTTCCTTTTTGGTTTACATCATATTTGATCATAAAGACAATACAAAGTATTAGGAAACAGTTTGAGGGATGTATGTTTTCATCCACTTTACTGTACAAGGTTATTTTGGCAAACACTTATATAATGCTGGCAATGCATGTGATGACATCAGCTCAATTGTTTCCAGATAAATCCTGTTTATATCTGGTGATATAAACTCTGCTAAACAGGGAAAACAAGGCTGACTCTGTTTAGAGGATTTCTCTGGAACCCGATCGCGCATGGAACGATTTTTCATGAGATGCTAAAAAACTGGGATAACTAACCATCAACACTTTGAGACGCTTTATGCAACTTTTCCTATTGTACAAGGGGTTTTTCACAACCATTGTAACACCAGAGATGTGTAGTAAGAAGGGCTAAATGATTTTACAAATAGTCGACCAATATTGGGATTGCATTTTTATTGCTATTTGCCTTTTGTCTGTAAAGTTTAACCTATGTGTGAAAAAGTTCAACTATGATGCATGGATCTGCATGCTAGCTAGAGCTCTCTCTTCTACGCTGGCTGACAGGTGCAAACGTGCAATAAAGGATCTATGATGCAAACTCCAAAACACAAGCACAAAAAAACAAATGCATCAGACAAACACTGCTACAAGAAGATAGTTAGTTTGAAGTAGGATATTGGCCTTGTTTTGGCTTTGTTTTTGGTCCAATCTATAGAGCCTCAAACTCAACACTTTGGGTCGGCAACCCAAACTGGTCAAAGAGCCATATCGGACCAAAAAAAAAAAAGAAAATAAATCTGTCTAGATCTGCAAAAATGTAAAAGTGGCAACACGGGCCCTAAGTGTATTATCCCGCTATAGAAAAGGACTATATGGGCTTAAATATATAACAGGCATTCATGATTAAATGTTTATCCTGCAGCAAATGTCACATGGCAGCATGAGGTGAGGGAGGAGTAAATGCTCTCACTGCACGCTGCTTCACCACCCTTCACCGCGCAGTTTAGGTTTTTCTTGCATTGATGAAATTATAGAAACACGATAAAGAAATCTTTTTATGGTGGACTGATTGGGAGGAGTTGATTGACTCATGAGGAACCAAGCAGGAACTGACATCCATCAGAGCAGAGCTCTCTAACCCCGAAATCCCACATTCTCTGTCACCAGCGTTCCTTGTTGTGATTTATATATTTAGGATATGGGGAAAAAATGGAAGGAAGTTCACATACCTGCATCAGAGCTCTACCTGGTTGATCTGTGGATGGTTTTC